GAAATGAGTGCCATATTCGTAATGAGCATCCCCAAATACCTCGAAAAGGATACCCATATAGCATATTTTGAAAAATCGTGTCCGCCATCTTGGATTTACAAATAAGTGCTATATTCGTTTTTCATCGACAAAACCGGGCATATCTGTAGGCACCTGATCGACAATGTCGGGCAAATCTGTAGGCACCTTTAACTTAATGATGAGTTAAGCAAGATACAATTTCCCCACTTTTGAAGGAAATGTTATTCCATGGCATCATTATTTGTATATTTGTGTGCGTGCCGACGAGCGTAGTTACAAGTTGCTTACGCCTACATGAATTTGGTTTTTGCCTCACTTGTGACAGTTCGTTTGATATGAAACTATCATTCTATGCGTTATTATTCTAAGATGAACACTAAATGAAATTGTCTAACCAAACTTATGAAAACTCAAATGTTGAATAGTATCATAGTGCATGTTACAGTCAAAAGCACATCAAGCTTGACACTTTGACTTAAGACCGTTCTTATCATAAGCGGCATAGAGTTAAGTTTAAATCTTAAATGTCAAGCTTGGAGTGCTCTTGATCCTTGTATATATTTTTCATTGGTCCAAATGCATACCTACCGGAGCTTGTTTCTCGTTTTTCAGCTTTTTGCGCACTCAGGTTTTTGGCAATCATGAGCGTTTTTCGATCGATTTAAGTGCTACATCGCGTCACTAAAATGGTTCTTACAAAAACGTACTGACGCGAGAAAATAATATGGCGCCACTGTCTATGCGGAAAAGGCACGGAACTAAAACTGAGCGTAATCTTACTTAGAACACACTATGCTATAAGCACTTTTTTTATGAATACCGCCGCGCTTTCATAAATTAAGTATTATAATGTTAAATTATTTATGTTTTTTTTGTTTTTGTGATTATTTTCAAGTTTGTTTGTTTTAGTTGTAATTATATTGTTCACTCTGTGAACTTTTGACACAAACTAAAGCAAGTACTGGCTGTTTGTGTTTGTTTAGGTCACTGGAAGTAAATTAAAACAAAAAAAAAACTTTTTACTGCTTAGGGATTAAATGACGCACTTTAGTCCTGCTACATAAAGGTTATATTGACGTAGTTTTGGAGCATGAGAAGTGAAAAAATATATTACTGACTTATATTTCACACTTTCACTGTCAGTAAACGAGCTTTAATAACTAAATAATATAGAGAGAAACTTCAAGCATCCGACCAGACGGACCTGGGAGTCTACCACGAAATACGATACTGCGCAACGAACCTCATACGTACTACATTCTGTCAGTTTTACGATGAAAGTAATGTCGAAATTAGACACGAAAGCTGTCTTTTGACGTTCCGGATTAAGAACTTACGTTAAATAACGATTTTCGTACGTTTTTCGTGGTAGCCTCCGGGTCGGTACGAAGCTAAAACGATGATCGTTGTTCGTATTTCGTGGTAGACTTTCATAGTTCTCGGAACTATGAACACACCTTGAAGCAGAGTCCACTTTTAACAGTTCCCAATTACCACAATTGTTCTTTTCGATATGTGAAGGTCATTGTATATTGTACGTGGCTTAGTTTAGAATCGTCTCGTTAAGATCTTCAATTTGAAGCCATACCATTACTGTTTCAAGACTTTAATAATGATAACCGCACGGTCGATCGTTATATTGATTTTTTAATATAAATCAACTAATACCAATACCACAATCTATCAAGCTATTTAAACTACACGATCAAACCAATAGACATACAAACTTACACCCTAATTAATACACCTAAGGGTACTATTACCCTCATTCTGATGCAGTAGGATAAATCTATCTTTATTATTCTTTCCATAAAAGTTTATTTGCAAATGTGTGATTGCATGCATTTAGCGAGGTAAACTCGCCAATGGATCTGGACTATATGCGCAAGGTCCGCTACCGCCTGAGGCTGCTGAACTCGTGGCCCAACAAGGAGCTGAACCAGCCACATCGCACACTACCTTTCCGTCATAATAAATTCCTCTTCTCGTTTTGGCTCTTCACCTTGATCTCGCAGGTTTGCAATCTAATTCTTTTTCCTTGTTGTACTTGTTATTCAGGAGACAATTGTGTCTCGGACGCAGATACGTAATCGTGTATGTCTGCCCTAACGGTAGTACATTTTTTGATGAGTAAATATAAACCGCTACAATGTTTCAGTCAAAACTGATTTTAAAAAAATGATGATGTTTTTAGATAGAATAAATTTACTAGTTTAGAATGTGTCCAGAGAAAGTATATGTGAAACCGATTTTAGAGAATAAGAGATTAAATGCCTAACTCCAACAAACGTAAAATATTCATTGTAGGGGTGCGTCTCTTCGGATTCTACGAATGCTGTTTGTTGTGTTGCAGATCCAGTACATTCGTAACAATACGGGTAAACTGTCCTTCTTCGAGCTCGGACACAGCTATATCACGGCTTTAATTACCGTCATCAATGTGGTCAGTTGGTTTTTAAGTTAGTTACAAGACGCATATAGTGCCGGAGTAATTACTTTACTGAAAAGTAACGATTTTTCAGCAACGTGTTACGCTGATGTGGAAAAAGGAATATCGAGAACTTGGGAGATTATTTGTGCAAGAAATGCACCTGTTGTACCACAAAAATATGTCTGAATACGCTATGAAGGTATCATTTGTTTACTAAACGATATCATTTTCGCATTTCTTTCCAATTTTACCTCAATGTTGCATAATTTGTGTTCTGTAGACGTACAATCAAGTTCACAATATCTGCAAGTTGTTTACCAACTACCTACTTCTGCAAATGAGTGTCGGCGTGTTTTTATTTAACACCACTCCGATGCTGCACAACTTGACGACAGGCATGTACAGCAGGAACCTGCCGGTCAACGGCACTTTCGTCCATTCTTGTTACTACGCACTCCCCTTTGATTATACCACGAATTTCATTGGGTACCTCGTGGTTTTCTTCATGAACTGGGTTCTTACTTACGACGCTGGCTGTTGCTTTTGCGTATTCGACTTATACATCTCCCTAATTGTGTTCCACGCGTGGGGCCACCTGAAAATTCTGGACTACCATCTGCGACATTTCCCTCTGCCGGCGATGGCAGGCAAAGTCAACGAAATTACGAACCCAGTAATGTATAGCGAGGAGGAATCTAAAGAAGTAACGGCTTTGCTCAAGAAGCATATAAATCATCACCATATTATCATGAAGTGAGTACAGCAAATGTGATGACATTATATTCTCTTTTACATTTTGCAATATAATTCCTTGATTACATTCCTTGATATATTTCAGATTGGTGCAGAGTAGCTCAGACGCATTTGGCAGCGTTCTTTGCGCATATTTTACATTCCATCAAGTGTGTTGCTGCATTTTGCTACTGGAGTGCTCTGCAATGGTGAATACAATTTTCAAGTTTCGTTATCGTATCTAACGAAATAAGTAATAATAATTGTGGCGCTTTCCACTTTCAGGACAAAACGTCTTTAATGGAGTACGGCGTGTTGACGATGATTGTATTCCAACAACTTATGCAGGTTTCCATTGTGTTTGAATTGCTTGGGTCTAAGGCAAGTTACTTTTTTTCATAGATCTTTAAACAAACAAGAAAATTTATTGTATAAATATTATAATAGTGTACTCTTTCAAGATTTTAATGTTTATAAAATCTCGTCACCCCGTAATTTTCAATCAACCACTGAATCCTTCGGTAGATGACAAGTTAATAAAATTCAGTACTTCATTATTAAGTTTTTACGACAACGTGCACCACTGTACTCAGTGAAACTGAAAAGACCAGCAGGTTGGGTGTGTGGCGTGGCGCGTGCATGGAATAAAAGCTTTAAAGCGCCGTCACTTAGGTACATGACTACTTTCTCGACTGTTGTCCTGCTTATACTTGGAAATTTTTAAAGTCCGTTAATGGTGACATTAGCCGACAAATTATAGTCTTCTCCTTAGATACGTTTAGATAGTGCTCTGCCTATCATTATTCACATTATTAACTTATCTGATATATTTTACATATCTAACAACTGGCGCAGGACGTATGTGCTGCCTCTTCCTAAAATTAATAGCAGTAGAGCTCCTTGTGAAAGAGTTCGTCCAGGGAAGTACTGTCACTTTACCTATTTCTTCCGCCAATCAGTAATGTGAGCAACATTGCGTGCCGGTTTTGAAGGGAAGGGTGCTGGTGAAATTACAGGCACATGGGACTTGTCAAGTTTAAGTCTCAGGGTGTCGGGCGCAGTGGCAGTGCCCCTCAGATCTTTGCGATTCAAAGCTCTGAGTGGCATTGCAACTGTTATGGGCAGGCGTGTCGCTTGCCATCAGGTGCACGTCTTGTTCGTCCTGTCACTTGGTATTACGAAAAAAAACCTCTTAAACGCTTTAGCCATCTCAACACCACCCTTCCTTTCAAAATTTCTTATCACTTTTCGTTTCTAGAACCAATTTTTTGTTTCGACCAGTATGTACCAGCAGATTCACCAGTGTCGTGATTTGAGAATGCTCTCTATATTTAACCTATCATTATTGATCAATGTGCACCTGGTTATTTGAAATATAAGTTTCAATATTTGGGCGCATCTCGTAATCGCAATCGTCGCTCAGACAGCTAATTGACTCTCTTCATTCCTTCTCGTTGTAATGGTTTTGTTTCCAACTCATTTTCTCTTTAAGCCATTCGACTCTGGAACGCTATGTCACTCCAAATTCAAAAAACAATTTGTCCATAATTCCACCATTTGTACTCTTTCGTGTGATATAAAGTTTAAAAATAATTTAAATTAAAGAGCGAGGTGTTGATGGATGCGGCATACGGTCTACCGTGGGAATACATGAATGTGTCGAACCGCAAGATGGTGCTCTTCTTTCTGTACAACGTGCAGACGCCCATCGCCGTGAAGGCCGCCGGACTCGTGCCGGTGGGCGTGCAGACTATGGCTGGGGTGAGTCACGTCCTCAGTTATCTTTGGGAATACAATCCACACTCGCATTTCTGCCTTTGTCATCCCCTTGAGTATGTATAAATTATTAGCAATTATTCAAATACTGGTTATTGAAGAGTACTTAGTCCTTGATTTGAGGATAATTTTTCAACTGATTCTTGGGAAAGTTATGTTAGACAAGTATTATGAATGCTGACCAAAAATTTTTCAATGCTTGCTTGCGTCGACAGCCGACAAAGGTCCCTGGGCAACATTTGGCGCCGACAGGCTACAAGCCAGGAAAGTAGAGACGAAACGTAATGTAGCCGCCGTAGGGTGGTTTATTGTGTTCCAAATCGCAGTCGCAATAAAGGGCACAGTGAAACGGACTCCACTTGTTGCCTTTGTCGGATTAAATTACGAGCTGCAAATAAGAATGCTTTTTGTTGCAGATATTAAAAACATCGGTGTCGTATTTCGTGATGTTGCGCGCAAAATCCGATTAATGAACGATGGTTAATGATTTTTGTTTATCCTTAGAATTTTCATCTCTATTTCAGTGAAAAATTTTAATTATAATTTAATGCCAAACGGGTGTTCTATCGAGATTTGTGTTTTAGTAGTTTAGTAGGCTTTCAATACACGCATTTAGTTTTCTTTCCGACACTACTCAAGTAATACCTTAATCCACCGTTTGTACTCTTTTGTGTGCAATAAAGTTTAAAAATAATTTAAATTAAAGAGCGAGGTGTTGATGGATGCGGTATACGGTCTACCGTGGGAATATACGAATGTGTCGAACCGCAAGATGGTGCTCTTCTTTCTGTACAACGTGAAGACGCCCATCCCTGACTTAGGTCCGTAAATGTGGTTCAAACCACCTAACAAGCTGAGAAGACTAAAGTAAATAATAATAATAATAACAACCGCGAGATATGCCGTCTCAGAAACTACTTTTTGACGATGACGGATGACGCAATTCGTGGGGAGGTTGTCACATGTGATAAAGGACTAACTCCCTTATCGTTGGCCAAAGAGGATTGGCGAGACCCGGTGGTGCTTAGCACCTCTGACCGCGAGTCCGTATGGAAAGAGAAGGAGCTTCACGGGAGGTTCTTCAAGGTACTCCACTAGTCCTTTATGGACCGTAAAGCCTCCGTACATTGGCTGCGTTTCGGGGACCTCTTTGGGGAAACCGAAGGTTTTGTCTGTGCAATACAGGATCAGGTTATTAAGACGCGGAACTTTCGGAAATATACCCTAAAGGACGGCATAGTAGACATTTGTCGGGCATGTAGCCGCCCCGGAGAGTCACTTAGGCATATTGTTTCTGGTTGTTCCGCTCTTGCCAACACTGAATAATTGCACAGACATAACCAGGCAGCCAAAATATTACACCAAGAGCTCGCTCTGAAGTACTGACTCGTGCAACGGAGGTTGCCATATTACAAGCATTCACCGGAGCCAGTACTCGAAGATGACCGCACCAAAGTCTATTGGGATCGATCCATTATTACGGACAGGACTATTCTTGCGAATAAGCCTGATATTGGATCGATCGCAGTCGAGGGTATTTCTTGTGGACGTCACCATCCCGTATGACAAGGGTCCCGTGAAAGTCGAAACCGAGAAACGCTGGAGGTATCTCGACCTGGCGCACGAGATCATGGACATGTGGGATGTGGCCTCCACTGAAATAATCTCAATTGTTTTGTCCGCAAATGGGTTAATTCCAGTCAGCCTTTCTAACAGCTTGAGGCGGTTGGATTTCTGTGGCGTGTCGCTTCCAGCACAAATGCAGAAGGCGGTCCTGCTCGAAAAGGCACATATTGTTCGCCGGTTCTTAGACCTGAGTCCCTGACCCCGGCCGACTGTTGCATTGCCGGGAAATACCGCCTCTCCCATTTAAAAATTCAAAATTAGTCTTTTAGGCCTTGGGAGAGGCGAGAGATTAAAATAAAAATAATAATAAAAATAAAAAAATAAAATAAAAATAAATACAATAATAATAACAGTAATAATAATAAATCTTTATTTGTTTTTCTCACAAAGACCTCAGTCACGATACCTTAAACTCTCTCAAGTCTACTTAAACTTTTTTCTGAGAGAAACCCGAAAGCCTAAACGGTACACAATACGAATCTTTCGTTTTTGCTACACAATATGGCTTGTATATCTGCCGCTTTGCTCCACATGACAATCCCGTAGGATATTATGTTATGGAAGTAACTAAAGTAAACTAGTCTAGCGGTAGATACCAACGTCGGTAAGCTTACATACCTATTTTGCGGACTGCGTATACAACGGAGCTTCATCGCTGGCCAGAGAGGATTTCAAGTTTGTAAACTCCTGCATCCTGTAAGGGGATGTTACATTTCACGGGTCTTAGGAACTGAGTAATCTTCCTCAGGGGCTTGAAATAGGTCTTGATAGATACACGCCTGAGGACTCTTCAGATCTTGTCTGTAACACCTCTAATGTAAGGCAAAATGGCAGGTCTTATTAATAATAAATTTAACATAATAAAAATTAATATTGTCATAATAAAATAATTTGTTAAACAATGTAGCGTAAATTGGAATGCTTTTTTGTAAAATTAAAAATAAGGTATTTAATCAATAACTTTTGTAACTATAGCGGAAAAAATTAATATTAGACATAATTGGTTGATGACTGATGACATTTAAGTCAACCGTGACCATGGGACCTGTAAAGGGCCCGAAACGATGGACCATGGACCAAAGCAGTTACGGAATGGTGACCAAGATGAACAAAAAGGCCAGTGAGCACACCACTAGCCCGATGATCTGACGGTGTCGTGAGATTTGCGGGATCGCGCTGGATGTGAATGGCGCAGGATCGAAAATATTGGCGCAATAAAGAAGAGGCCTATGGCCAGCAGTGGGTTGATGTTGGCTGACCATGATGATGATGAAAGGTCCTTAACAAAGAGTGGTAGATCATTAATATTATAAATGAGAAATAAGAAAGATCCTAGAATTGAGCCCTGGAAAACACCCATGTTCACCGGAGAACACAAAGAAGTCACTCAGGAAATAAGATTAATTACCGAGTCTATAACTTTAGTCGATATGCCCCAGAGATCTTCAGTTTTTTTAATATGTATAGATTTAAAAGCTTTGATCATGTCTTGTGGATTTAACATGATGAAAATTAAATACACTGCCACAACAGCAACGTTATTCTTTAGGAGAACAATAGCAAGAGAACTATATGTATACAGCGATCACTGTTTGCACGACGTCCAGTCATTTCCTTTTATTTATGCAAATTTTCAAGAGATTTTTCCACATATTCGTATTTGTGTTTATCATATATCATAGCGTACTACATGTTACTTACTTACTCCCCGACATGTTACTTGGTCTAAAGCTTTTACTTCACACTGCCAATGTGCATCACTTAGATTTCTGTGGCATCAACACTCTTGTTGCAGCAACAGGAATGTGGATTGACTTACTGTTGGCTCCACGCTTTACGCTTTTGATGCATAAATCGATTCTTAATCATAATACATTTTTTTTGCCTATAAAAAATTATAAGGATCTGTTTTATCCGTAACATCCGGATTTAAAAATGTTGATATCCAATTTATCCGGATTCTAAAATAATAAGGCAAAAGCGGATAATGCAAACCCTAGACATATCCTTATGCAATAATGTCTATATTTTATATCATAAGCAGTGATCGGAATTGAGGGAGTAAATTTACCTAAACTAAAGAATAATGTGGATTCCCTTCTATGCATTCCCTTGTACAAATCCCGGAACTTTTCGGAACTGATTATATTTGAAAAAGCGTATTATTTATTAATATTTGAGTACATTGGCGACTAATTATTATATCCTATTAAGTATTTGCTACAAATCATTGTCTCCAAAAATGATATTGTAGTTGTGTTTCTATAGGTACTTACGTATTTACATACTTTAGCTATTTAAAAAATAAACATGATACAACCTATATTTTGGAACGTTCAGAAAACAAAAACAGAAAAAAAATTAATTTTGTACGTATTAATCACGAAATGGTTATGTCCATTCTAAGAAAACGTTCATACTTAAGGTAAAATAAATCACTGATCATAAGGTAATAGAGGGGTGCTGGTGAGAAGTAACGGCTTTGCCGTGATACCTCATGTGAAGTTCAACACTTGTCATCGATTAAACACCATTGTTACTAATTTATTGCCAATCTACGACGTTGGTTATAAATATGGGTGAAAACAGAGGAATGTGCGAGTTAGAGCAGCAGTTTCGAACGACACGCAAACATGTTCGTCGTTAACTTCTTGTTGAGGGAGACAAAACGGTAAGACTTGTATCAATGATTTATAACACATAATAAGGATTAATATAATTAGTAACGAAATAATTAGTAACCCTTAAAAAAATTACGAAATGTAGATACTCACGGGGCAACTCTTGCGATGCGAAGATATGGGTGACGAAAAATCCATGAAAAAACATTTTTAATAATCGACATAACATTTTTTTATACCACTAAGAAGCTACTTTCTAGGAGTTTTACAAGGAACGGCACAGAACTAGAACAAGACGGAGACCAATATTGCAAAAAGACGATTTTTGTAAAATTAACAACAACATTGTCGTAGTTGCCTTATCTTCATTTGCAAACCGAGCTAATGGTACATTGACTTACAATTATATGGACGTCGGGTCCGCGCTAAAAAGTGTCCGCACTTGTAAGGCGCTAAAATCGTATACAGAGCGCCAAACTCCGCTTTAGTCTTCATTTGTTCTACTGACAGCGCGATACTGCGATGACATTACAATTTAAATTTCGAATAGGTTGACTTGGGACATTTTTTTCGTGGTTTTTGTACTAGACCCGTCGTCCATTTATTTGTAAGTCAATGTAATGGTATTATAATTTATTAAACAAATACAGAATTAATATTTCACTGCCTCTGTGGCCGAACGGTTACCATGCTGGTCTGCCACACAGAGGTCGCGGGTTCGATTCTCGGGCCGGGAGAAATATTTGTATGGCCTACATTTATTTCTCTCGTGAGTTTGGGTGTGTTTCTATGGAATCAGCGACTCGGGGTTTCCCTAGTGCGGGGCTATGAAAAAAAAAGATATAGCTCAAATATCAAAAGTTTTGAAATTTTAATGTTACAGTTCCAATTTTTCTTGGATGAAAACTTAGTTTAAAAAATCAAACCAAAAACAGATACCGGCCGGATATTCAGTCTCGTGATTTAACCATACCCTTGTGTGTCTAGGTTCCATCATATAATTTGCTCTCAAACAAGTCTAATAATAGCCTGCATATGGGAAATATCTGCAAATGAATTAATAATAATCCATTTGTCGACATCTGTCTTTGTGTAGACATAGTATTCCACGTCATGAAAAAATATTATAATGGGGCACACGGAATGGTTTGCACTTCTGGCTTTACACAACTATTTGAATTTCGAATGGTTTATTTTTTTAAATTAAAACCTTATTAGTTATT